CCTCTTCCTTGAGTCCCAGACCAGCAGCCCTGTGATCTCCATGGTGCCTTTCCCTGGACGTCTCCACCAGATTCCATGCTGGGCTCAGCATCTCCCCAAGCTGGTGTCCCCACCTCAGAAATGTCATATTTTCTGGGCCCCCTAGAAGGGTACTGGGCAGGAACACCACCTCCCAACTCCGGGGCCTCACACTCCCCCTAGCAGTTCATCCACACTCACTTTGAAGGAAGGTGATGTCAGGTGCTGGCTTTGCGTCCCCAGACACACAGCTGACCACGTACTCCTCCCCAGCTACCCACGTGACTGTGCTCCCTGCCTCAGGGGTCAGCTGAAGCATCTTGGGGGGCACTGGTGAGAAAGGGTCTGGGGTAAGCCGACACCACCGAGAAGGATAGGAGGATTTGGGCTTTGAGTCTCATTGCTCATGAAATTAGTTCTGCAACCTGAATCTGTGGAAGGAGAGGCTGGGGGCTTATACTCCTGGGAGGTAGGGGAGGACTGGGAGCACAGACTCATGGGTTCTGGGGGCAGGGGGTATCTCTCACCCATACCCAGAATGGAGAGGATCACTCTGGGAGACACGAGCTCAGGCCCTGTCTCTGAGCGGCCGACCTGGCACTCATACTCGGCATCATCACTGAGGTCACATGCTTCAATATGCAGGTGGAATTCACCTGCAGGTAGGACCCAAGGTCAGGGCCACAGTCAGCTTCTGCTGACAGCTCAGGGTCCAGGCTCCGATCCCTTACCTCTAGAAGGGTTGCCTGCCAGGTGGTAGCGTGGGAAGCCAGGGATCCTAGGGTCGGGACCTAGGAGCAGTCCATCTTTGGCCCATTGCACGGTACTGCCAGGGGCACTGACCCCACATCGAAGCTCAGCGGCAGCCCCCTCCCTCACCGTCGTGTTTTCAGGCAGAGCCCAGAAGCCTCTGGAGGCTGAGGCAGGGATCTGCAACTGGGCCAGGCCTGGGGACAGAAAAGTCAGCAGCAGAGGACAGAGGGTCTGTCTGGAGAATGTGAGTGGGAAATGAGGGCGTCTTAACACTAGATCACAAGGCCAGGATCCCACTTACCTGTGGTCAGCATTCCCATGAGGAGCAAGGGAGCCCGGATGGGGATCCTCAGGGCCACTCCATGTCCTCTGTCTGTGGCTCCTGCAATGCCCACTGGCTGCCTCCTGTGTCTGCCCCTGGCTTTCTCTGGGTCCCTCTCCCTATGTCTCTGTCTCTTGCTTTTCTCTTTGTCTCTCTTTTGCCATCTGTCTCCTTCTCTTTCTCTGTTTTTCTTTCTTTCCATGAGTCCATCTTTCCCCCTCTCACTCTCTCCCTCTCTTTCCCCTTCTGTCTTTCTAACTCTCTCCCTGCCCTGAGTACCTTCCACTCTACCTTCTTCTGTCTTTCTCTCTATTTCTCTCTCCCTAAGGTGCACACTCATTCTCTCTGCGTTTCTCTCTCCTTTCCCATAAGTCTCTATTTGTCTTTCTTCTCTCCTGCCACCCCAATCCCTGCTTTCCTTTCACCACTCACAGCCCCCCAGGGAAGACCCGCTGTCAGAGTCCAGCAGGCCCTACAAGCCAAGGAGAGCAATGAGGCCTATGAGGTCAGTAGCAGAGCTGAGCCTCATTCTGGGACCCAACCTGATCGTGTCCTTGCACTGCTACCTTCCCGAGACACCCTCTCAAGTCTCCAGCTCCAGTACTCTGTCCAGCAGGCTCCTCCCAGCCCAGCTGGAGCATGAAATCCCCTGTCAGCACATGCCAGGCATATTCCTTGGTGCCTCCCCAGCCCCCATGACCCCATGAAGGAGTGCAAGTCAGACCCGGGCGGTCCCAGTTCAGCATGGAGAGCAGAGAGCTGGGCCTGGCTTTTCCTTACCCTGGTACATGACCTTGGCAAGTCCCTTCCTTCCCTGAGTAAACATTACCCCCTCAGTGACATTAGGAATGTCGCTGGGGAGTGTGCAAGAGTGTGTATGAGACTGGGAGAGTGCAGCTATCTCCCTTTCTGTGCACGTGTGTGTGTGAAGTTCATTGTGAGTGAGCATTCGTGTGAGTGTGAGGAAGGTGAGTGAATTGTGATCTGTGAAAGTATGTGCTGAGTGTGTGAGTGTATATGAGTGTCTAAGGTGCAAGTGTGCAGGGGCAAGGCAGCCAGCGTGGGTGGGAGTGAAGGTAGTGTCTAAGATCACCAGCACTAACTGTGCCAGGGTGTAGAGCTGTCAGCACTGAGCCCAGCTAAGTACCCTATGGCAAGGGCCTTGTGAATTCTATTTCATGTAACTTCCCTCTGTCTTTCCCTGTCTCTTCTGTGTCTGTCTCTCTCTCTTTCCATCTATCCATCTTGATTTATCTTTCTATTTTTATTGACTTTTTTAGAGAGAAACATCAATGTGAGAGTGAAACATCAGATTGACTGCCTCCTGCACAGCCCCTATTAGAAATTGAGCCCACAACCTGTGCATGTGCTTTGACTAGGAATTGAACCAGCAACAGGACAATATTGGTGCACAGAACAATATATAACCAACTGAGCCACACTGGTCAGGGCTTAATTTATCTTTCTATCTTTCTCTATCTGAGTTCCTTTTGTCTCCATGTCTTTCTCTATTCTCCTCTCTCCCCATTAGGTGGTTAATCTCAGTCAACCTTTAACTATGTCTCTCTCTCTCTCTCTCTCTCTCTCTCTCTCTCTAGATATACACCTCTATGTGTCTCTACTTTTCTGCCTCTGTTCTCATCTCTATCTCCCCCCACCCCCAACCCCATGCTTTCTCACACACACCAGGAGCTCAATAAATATTTGGTCCCAGCCATCCTATGACTACACCTGTTTGTTTTATTTGTTTCTCCTGATTGCCACATCTTTGAATTTTATAACCATATGTTGGTTGGTTGGCCCTGCCCACCCCAGTGTGCTCACACACATAGGATAAGCTTCTTCTGCCTGCTTATCTCCTGCAAGAAAGACCCCCACCACGACCCCCTATATGATCCTCTTCCAGGAACAAAATGAGGCATCTGGGCTGAGCCCCTACAGTTCCATCCTTGATGCTGGCTCTAGTCTTTCTTCTTCCCTCCCATATTAAATCCTTGCACTCCCACATTTTCTCTCCCAACTGCCCACACCCCCTAGGGAATGGGCTGGATGCAGAGCAGGAGGTTCTGTCATAGGGCTCCTCACCAGATGGTGTCCATCGAGGCCAGGGTGTAGAGCTGTCAGTTGCTGGGGCCTTTAATTAGCACAAACCTTCCACACTCTACTTTGACTGTTTTCCTTCTCTGCATGCTCCTGGGACCTCAGGCTCTTCATCTTTCCATGCCTGCAGCCCCAGAGAGCCAGGAAAGGGAAGTGATATCAGGTGTCTAGAAAAACAGCTTTACTGCCTGACTTGTCCCCAAGCCTCAGGAATGCTGGCCCCAAGCTCATCCTGTTTTAAAATCCAGGTGCTGGATCCCCAAAACAGAAGCCAGGAGTTCAGGCCCCCCGGCCCAGAGTCTGGGCCACCAGGATTCACAAGCCTGGGCCCCAAGGATCTAGGACTCAGGAATTCAGGCCTGAAGCCCCTTCTCCCCACATTCCCAAGAGATAAGTCCCCCCCACCCCCACAGAATTTAGGGTAGATGTTCACTGTCTATTGATTTTCAAATCCCCCCCGCCCCCCGAGCTTGTGTAGGGAGTAGGAGAGAGATAGGTGCTTAAATCCACTGACTCTAAGACCTAAGACCAGATTTTCTGACCCCTGTCATCCTCTCCCAACTGCGCCCTGCTGCAGGCAGAGGACCTGTTTGAGTTCCCAACTTCTCAGTCAACAGAGGTCCGCACAGCCAGTCTTAGAATCCTGGAAGTCCAAGTCCCCGCTACTTAGGGTAAAACTCAATATTCTGAGCTCAGGAACAATACACAACCTGAGTATGAACTCCAGTCCCAACAGGCTCAGGAACGTCAGACCCAGGTCCCAAGCCCACAAACGCCCCTCAGCCGACTGGGGTTCCCACCCACCTGCCGGGTATCTGCGCAGCGCACTCGCCAGCGTGCAGCGTGAGAACACCCCAGCTGGGCTGCATGCAGCCGTCAGGACAAGCTGCGAGGTTCCCAGCCTCCCTGCCAGCCCGGACCCAGCACCGCCGCCTCCCAGCTGTCGCCAGGCAACCACCGCTGAGTGGGGCGAGGGGCTGAGCCGGACTGCGGGGTCTTGGGAAAGGAGGGTTTGTGAGCCGGGATTCCTAGATCTTAAGACGTGCTATGGTTTGCGGCAGTGACTAGGTAGGCAAAGGGTTATTTTGAAGAGGGGGCTTGAGGCGGGGAGAGCAGAAGCCCCCTCTTCTCGGGGGTTCCAGCTGTCCCCCCTCTTCCCCAGCCACACTGGAGCCCTCTTCCTGACCTGTAGGCTCAGAGGAGCCCCGAGCCCCGCCTCCCAGGGCGCAGAAACTAGCGATGCCCCAGGGGCTCCCATTTATAGCTCGATTTCCACTCAGCGCGGTCCCTCCAGGACCTGGGCTGAGCAACTTTCTTCCACTCCCTCCCTCACTTCTCCTCACCCCCGTGCCCCTGCAACCCCGGCAGGGTGCAGGTGTCCAACGCAGCCGAAACCCCCTCCTTCGATCCAGGTGTTCCGGCTCCCAGATCCCAATAGGGGTGGGGCACCCCCCTCCCCCCCCCCAAGAGGAAAGCCCTACTCCTCGGCCTTTTGGTCGCGGAGTTTCTTAATGGAAAGAGGGCGGGGCGCGCCGGTGCCTAGGCGAATGAGATCAGGCCCAGCCGGGGTCTCAGAGATGCAGCGGGCGGGATTCGCCTGCGTTTCAGAGCGTCGGAGCCGGCGGCTGAGCAGATTTGGGAAACTCCAGGCCAGGGACAAGGGTGCGCCTCGCCTGGAGTGAATGAAGAGTCGGGCTCGAAGAAGGTTCCAGGCTTGAGTGGTGGGAGGTGTGCTGTCCAGGAAGCAGTTGGCAAGGAAGGCAGTGCTACAGCAAGTCTGCTGCATCTTGGGGGACACACACTCAGTATGCTGGTCCCCGCCCTCCTCGTCCTCTTATTCTGCCTCAGAGGGCGTGCAGGTACCTCGAAGGGCGGGGGAGGGTTGCTTGCCAGCTCCCGCTTTTACTGGAGTGAATGGGGCTGAGGGCTGGGACTCTTGGATCTGAGGGAGCAGAAGTCTGGGAGCCTGGGCTTCTGGGTCTGCGGGAAGAGGGGTTTGGGGACTGAACTCCCGGGTTCTGAATGAGAGAACTCTTGAACATGCTATACTCAGCTCTGCTCCCTTCTTCTCCATTCTCCTAGGCCTGTCACCCCACTTCCTGCAACAGCCGGAGGACCTGGTGGTCCTGCTAGGGGACGAGGCCCGGCTGCCCTGTGCCCTGGGCACATACTCGGGAGTGGTCCAGTGGACTAAGGATGGGCTGGCTCTAGGGGGTGAGAGGGACCTGCCAGGTGAGGCTGTTCTCAGTACTCAGGGAGGGGCTGGCATCAGCTCCAGGAGATGCTGGGCTTAGGCTGTAACTGAGGTATCTATTTTGACATTTTCAAGTTTGGAAAATTAATGGGCTCAGGTAAACATTTGGGTGTCCTAAAAATTTTTGTTGTTGTTGATAGTCACCCGAGGATACTTTTTCATTGATTTTTAGAGAGTGGAAGGGAGACAGAGAGGGGGATAGAGAGAGAGAAACATCAATTGGTCGTCTCTGGAATGGGCCCCTGCTTGGGTGGGGGATCAAACATGCAACCCAGGTACATGCCCTTGACCAGGAGTTGAACCTGTGATCTTTCAGTCTGACACTCTAACCACGCCAGCCAGGGCTGTCTTGAACTTTCAGTTTACACTTTGGGGATGATCCATGGGGTTTGAAGATTTTAATTTTTATTGTAAAATATTACATAAATACAGAAAAGCATATAAAACATAAGTAGAAGATTTGCCAAGTAACTATAAAGTAGACACTCACGTAATCATTACTCAGGTCCAGAGCCCTTCTTATTCCTTTTCCCTATTGTAACTCCCTCCCTCTTTAGCCCAGGGGTAGCATCTAATCTGCCTTTTATGGCAATTGTTTTCTGACTTTTTTCTCTCTGAATTTATCACCCCCCAAGTTTGAAGTGACTCTGGACTGGGAGAGGGTCAGTGTCTCCTAGCTCAGCACCCACTTTTGGGATGGGAACAGGAACTCAAAACAGTGGTGTGACTGCCTCTTTCTTGATTCCAGGGTGGTCCAGGTACTGGATATCAGGGGATGCAGCCAGAGGCCAATACGACCTTCACATTAGGCCTGTGGAACTAGAGGATCAAGCGGCATATGAGTGTCAGGCTACACAGGCAGGCCTCCGCTCTCGACCAGCCCAGTTGCATGTGCTGGGTGAGGGTCCAGCCCACTCATCTCTCCAGGGTTGCCCAGAGGGGTAGCCAGTCCTAGCTGGGAGTATCAGAATCCAGGGAGCACAGAGGAGTGGTCAAATAGAGCTGAGAAGATCAGGGTCTCTGGGCCCAGAATACAGCTCTGACCCCAGATCCATCCACAGTGCCCCCAGAAGCCCCTCAGGTGCTGGGCAGCCCCTCTGTGTCTCTGGTTGCTGGGGTTCCTGCAAATCTGACCTGTCGGAGCCGTGGGGATGCCCGCCCCACCCCTGAGCTGCTGTGGTTTCGAGATGAGGTCCAGCTGGATGGGGCTACCTCCTATCAGGTCAGTTGCAAGTCTCTGTGCCAGCCCTTGTTTATTCAGGGAAATGTGGATGTTCGCTAAGACTACAGGCTCATCCAGAGAAGAAAAGGGCATGGGAGGGCAGGGGTTAAAGGGTTGGGACCCTTGGTGTATGATTAAGGGTGAGGACTCTAGGTCTGGACTACCTGGCTCAGTCACTCCTTAGTTGATTGATCTTGAGTAAGTAACTAACTTAACCTCTTCTGTCCCTCAGTTTTCTTATCTGTACAATGAGGATAATAGTAGTATGTACCTCATAGGGTAGTGATGGTGGACCTATGACACGTGTGTCAGAGGTGACACGTGCACTCATTTTTTTTGGTTGATTTTTCTTTGTTAAATGGCATTTAAATATGTAAAATAAATATCAAAAATATAAATCTTGGTTTTACTATGGTTGCAAATATCAAAAAATTTCTATATGTGACACGGCACCAGAGTTAAGTTAGGGTTTTTCAAAATGCTGACACGCCGTGCTCAAAAGGTTCGCCATCACTGTCATAAGGTAATTGTGAGGATTAAATAAAGCAATACTTCTTCTAAGTGCTTAGAAGAGAGCCTGACACATAGTAAGCACTGTATTAGGGGTAGATAAAATCATTATTATTATTCATAACCTCCAGACCCTGCTGAAGAAAGGGACCATTGAGTCTGTGGAGAGCATCTTATCCTTTACCCCTTCCAGCCATGATGATGGAGCCACCTTGGTCTGCCGGGCCCGAAGCCAGGCCCTGCCTGCGGGAAAGGACACAGCTATCACACTGAGCCTGCAGTGTAAGTGCATTGGACGCTGGTACCTGAGCCTGGAGTCCTTGGTGAAATAGGGGCCTGGGACTTGGACTCCAGGGTATGAGGAAGGAGGGAGCTGTGGACCTGTAGTTCCTGAGGGAATACAGAACTGGAGGCCTGCCTGGACTCCTAGCTCAAAGGGAAGAGGGAACTGAAGATCTATACCACTGGGGTGGAGGGGTTGGGAGTTGGAGGTCCTTGACCCTTGCTGATTATGGGCCCGCCTCCACAGACCCCCCAGTGGTGACTCTGTCTGCAGAACCACAGACGGTGCAGGAGGGAGAGAAGGTCACTTTCCTATGCCAGGCCAGGGCCCAGCCTCCTGTGACTGGCTATCGGTAAGGACATCACCTCTCCCAAGCCCAAAGCACTAGCTCGGAAAGGGGTGGAGCTGGGAGATGAGTAGGTGAGCCTGGGGAGCAGAGACAATACTAACAATCCCACTACCTCCACAGGTGGGCAAAAGGGGGCTCCCCAGTGCTGGGGGCCCGAGGACCAATGTTGGAAGTGGTGGCCGATGCCTCATTCCTAACTGCGCCAGTGTCCTGCGAAGTCAGCAACGCCGTGGGTAGTGCCAACCGCAGCACCGCACTGGATGTACAGTGTGAGCCAGGGCAGGACCATGGATGTGGGCAAAGTGGGACCTGCTGAAATGGGCAGATGGGGCGGGGGGTGGAGGATTGAGTGGGGCATGGCTGCGATGGGCTGTTGAAGGTGGGGGGTGGCATAAAATGTAGGCAGAGTTTGACTGTGCTGGGTCAACGCCAAATTGGAGCAGGGACAGGGGCAGGGGCAGGGCCGGGTCAGGGCATGTAAGCAGGGTTGTGGACCAAGGGCCTATACTTGCGCCCTTGAGGTTGCCCTTTCTTTTTCTTTCTTTCTTTCTTTCTTTCTTTCTTTCTTTCTTTCTTTCTTTCTTTCTTTCTTTCTTTTAATAAGAATTCTTTTTTCTTTAAATATATAT